CCTACATTCTAGAAATTTTCTAATTTGTTCTTTCCTTTATCATCCACATCAATCAGTGATGTTAGTGACTTGCACATAGAATAGTTTAATGAGCTTTCAATAGTTGCTGATAATTGTTACCCATACATCTCAAAATGCATTGCAAAGGTAGGTCAGCATTCATAATTGCATTTTACAGTTAGCACAGGAAAGCTGAGAAATTGCCCATAAGCACAGATGTAGGTCAGCATTCATAATTGCATTTTAGAGTTAGCACAGGAAAGCTGAGAAGCTGCCCATAAGCACAGATTTTTCCTCCCCTGAAGTAATGTTTTATGCCACTTTGGTCCTTATATATCGTAAACTTATTCTATAAACCAATACTTTGAACATAATATTTTTGGGGCTTAAATAATCCTTTTACCGAAGAGATAAATTATGTGCATACTGTATGGCTTCATATAGATCAGGCCTTGCTTAAACATGCACATAGAAAAGTATTCATCTTAGAGGATGCTAAAATTAAGGAGCTGCTCCTTGGATGTTCAGGGGAAAGCAATGAGGTCTCTCCAGTGTATTTCAATGTCAAAGGGAGGAACTCAAATCCTGCGTCCAATTTTTTCTTTCTAGTCAATATATTACAGTTTATGTATAATATACAGACAGCATGATTTCTCTGTAGGAATGCTTCCAATAAGTTTGGAGACAACTGTGTGTTGAACCATTTTGCCTGACAGCAATGTATCAAGGCATGAGTGGGCAGTGCTTTTGCCTTGCTGTCAGACTGCTTTCCCCAATATGAGCTTATTGCACTCTGGCATTGTGTCACACAGCACTCTTTGCTTGGAGAGAAGGGGGTTGATTTCTTGAGCCTGACTGCTTCTCTTGAGTACAGAAAATAAGTTTACAGAGGATTTCCCCTGAACATGTGGGACTGTTTCTGCCTGTCTTCTCAGTTGGAAAATTCATTTCACAAGACAAATAATTGAGCTGTAGGCTAGCTGGGAGAGCAAGCAGATGTGCTTCTTTCAGTTGGAACGGTTTTTTTGTCTTTTCCCATTCTTCACGCTGTCACCTGTCTCCAGTTCACAGTGATGAAAATACTACTCCTCCCCTGTGCAGAAATGGTCTCATATTGCTCAAAAGCCATATGTTTTGCCTTCCCTTTTTTGACGTTTGACAAAATCTCTGAAGTCTGAAATACTTCAGAGACATCCAAATAATTGCTGTTAGGCAATGGTTTGAAGCTCAATTACATTGCTGAGGCTGTTCACATGGTAAAAATAGTTTTATGTGCTCAAACACTTTGCTAAGATATATCACGTAGGAACTTCACTACAGACAAAGTATTGTAATGCTTGTGAAGGTTTTCATTATAGGCAAAATATTGTAGCTCTTAAGGCATATATGTTTCATTACAGACAAAGTATTGTAATGCTTGTGAAGTTTTTCATTACAGGCAAAATATTGTAGCTCTTAAGACATATATGTTTCATTTCAAAATGTCGTAAGAGGGATTTTTAGATGATAGGTCATCCTGGTTCCTTTTGGAGATACACAGCATTGATGTTTTCTCCCAGCACTTGAAAATGGCCCCCTGAAAGTAAATAGCAATGTTATTAGACATATTTAATAACACATTACAGATAAAAATCTCTATGTACAAATACCAATAGATACTTGCAGGTACAAATGTACATTTTACTCCTGCAGTAAGAGGCATGAATACTATTGTAGACATTAGAGATGAGGGTCTGGAAGCTTGGCTTCATCAGTCTGTGAAACCAGAGGAAGGCAGAACATTCAAAGTGAAAATTACTAAGAATTTGGGAGATGTTATGATGAGGATGATGTATGTCAGTAACAAAGTAGGCCTATTTTGCTTTAAATTTCACTATCTGTAAATAAAACTATGAGAAAATTTTCAAAAAGGGATTTCAATATATTCTTAGGAACAATTTTTAAATGTATTCATAATTAGCTGCATCTCTGTGCACTTCTTAGTGATTTTCTTTTTATTTTACTATTGGACTCAAAGGAGAAACTGTCACTCTCTTGGAGGAGAAAGCAAGATGAATGATGATCAGAATTTCTCCAATCATAAATTTAATACAAACCACCAGTATTTTCATTTGTATTAAATTCCCCCATTTTCTCCACTTAAATAATCTCAAAAGAATCTTGATCTTGCTTATGTAACACCTGAGGCTAGAAAACTGAAAGATAACAAATTAATCCGTGTGTCTCGGTGCCATGTCCACACACATATGCTCAAAGACTGATGTTTGCCCTGGGCCTTTTCTATTAAGATCATTCTCTGCATAGTTAATAGTTTTCATTTTTCCCTCTCTGTGTACCATTAGTTGTTATGATTTAGTCAACTGTGGAAATAATACAGTGCAATTTTTGTTAATTATTCAATTTGTACATACATTTTCCTTCATTGAGTGACAGCTATATTTCACAGGTACAATGGGAGTGCATTAACCCCAAGTACAAAGCAAAGAAGAAGAATTACAAGAACTCAGGCATCGTCATCCTTAACCAGTGCAAGGTAAATACATGTTTTGCTCTTTGGCTGTTTCTTTACTAAGCTCTCAGTGATATATTTTAATGGTGCTTGGAAACGTGGAAACAAAGTGGAACTGCCTGTAGAATAGTAATTGAGACTGATCTCCTACAAAAAAAGTAAAGACAAGGACTTCAACCTCAAAAGTAAGCTGACTGTTCCCAAGTCTCCTGTTTCATTTCTCTTACCCCATACCTGTTGTTGTGCAATGGGGAAGGCAGTACTAAGTCTTACACCTCAATACTTGCCAACTTCGTGTGTTTTCCTTTGAATCCTTCCATCATTTCTACAAAATTGCTCTTGTTCTTCCTAAGCCAACAGCAAAATTTCCACTGATTTCCCACTGACAAAAAGCAGAACTTGGTTCTACTTTTCATGTAGATTTAGAATTTTGGTATTTTAGCTGTTTACATTTTTATGTCTATCTCAAACTGTATTTAATGATTTCTTCCTTTACCTTATTTTCCGTTGGTCCCTCTCCTCCTTCCAATTTATTTTTTCTAGGTAGTTCTCTGATGTTTTATCAGTACACAGCTAAGTTGAATGTTTTGCTTTCTTGTCTGCAGATCCACAAGATGCATTCTTTCTTAGATTATATCATGGGAGGCTGCCAAATACAGTTTACAGTAAGTATCTTTACTTCTCTAACTTGTTTTAAAGGAAGGGAATCCCCTTAGATACCAATTCATTACTTTCACAAGGAAATGGTTCTTACTCCTTGTAAATTATTAAGGTCTTCTTGCAAAATGTATTAAGGGCCAGTCTTCTTTTCCAGAATGAGTCCTCCATTAAAGCAAGTTGTTTCCTTTCAAATGGTGCTATACAGAAAGTCACATGCAGAGAGATAGTCCAGCCAGAGTCCTCTCTCTGTCAGCCTGGGGTAAATACTGGTGGTTCATACCTCAGCCATAGCTACTAACAGTAAATTGGAACTACAGGGATACACAGCTGTAATTTGGAGAGAGTTCAGAAGATATTCAGTTCAGGGAATGGGGGAATAAAAGGATTTGCAGAGCTCTCCATAAACAAAAATACAGTATTTTGCCTTTCCATTACATTAAAAACACATTAAATGCTGTGTGGTTTAGATTATTTTTTTAGTTTGAATCTGCAAAATAATATAATTAATATAATGTAACACAATAAAATATAATATAATATATCAATATATCCCCTTGGCATAGGACTACAGATTGTGGCTGAGTTCCAGTCTGGTTTATGTGACTTTTAATTCATGCCAGATACAGGCACAAAATCTAATGCACCAAGGTATTAATCTTCTGTAGATCTTTTCCTGTAGCATCCTGCCTGGTTTCTGCTCCCACATATCAAGTATCAGATATTGGATGCTACTGAAATGTTTCATTTCACTTTTTCCAGACAAGCCTTCATTTTCAAGAAAAACTTTAATTTAAAAGAAAGGGTTTATTATTTGTCCCAACAGAAAGTTCCAGCAATAGCATCAGCTATACAGTAGTGAATTGTCTTGTTTTTGTAGGAATCAGCCTTTTGAGGTGTAAAACATGCACTTTGCCTGTACACCTCACAAACTCATTGGATGACATCCAGAACTAAGGACCCTCTCTTTGGTTTTGAAGGAAATTCCTGCCAGAATGGACAAAGATCTTTATAGTTGTCTTCTCTCAAGTGAAGCATCCTGCATAATTAACTTTCTGCCTTACCCGGCTGCTTCTTTTATCCCACGTGCCTGAAATGCACATTTCTCCTCCAAATCTAAAACTTGACAATTCCTGGAAACCCATTTAATCTATCTTTCCTGTAATTCCTTCCCTAAAAATATGACTGGAAGAACTCTATTATCAAATGTGTTCAAGGTCATTAGCAGAAAAAGAATCAATGTCTTCAAGTAATACTTGAATGCCTTTTCTAGTCATGGCATATGCTTAAGCATATGCAAGGACCAGTTAATACGCATTTCCCACAACTCTAGCTCAAGCCTTGGAGCACTGCAACCATTAGAAAGTGTCTAGGGATTTATATATTGTTAAGTTACAGCTATGCTTTTCAAACTCTTCATGATTCCTCTTAAATGTTTGCCAACAGAAGAGCAAGTTCTTACACAGCTCACTGAAGGGTTGTGGCAATTTGCATGCTTTTTATTTACTTGTCACAGATTTCCTATTAGTAGGCTGTGTACCCCAAGTCTAGAAGTGCTGGGGTAAACAGGTTGAAATGGATAGTATTGCTTCTACTGTATTTTAGTATATTTCATTTTACTGAAATGAAACAAAACAGTTGGTAATAGGAAACTTAAGTAAACTCATCAGCCAGGATGGGCAGTGAGGACATAAAGAAAATGAAAGATTCATTATATACTGTGAACCACAGAGATCCCTGAATTACTGCTGCCCCCAATGTTGAATCCCCCAGCAACAGTATTGTGTAAGCTCATCACTTTCTGTTTTCAACCTACACAGACTTAAGGGAAGCCACTGTGACATCCATATGCCTATAGCTCTCTTCGTGCATAACCTAGTGGTTGTGCCTAAAGATCATCACAAGCTGACTCTCTATTTTCCTTCCTCCTGCACCATTCCTCAGTGATAAATACACAGACTGGTTGTGAGATGTGTTACTGTTTCCAGAAATGTATGAGAGATTCTCTGGTGGTCACTGAAGCAGAAGGATGCAGTGTACAGAGGAGATATCCCATGCTCCCTTGCTTTCTGCACGCATCATATAATCTCCTCTTCACATAGTTCTGATCTGATTAATTCAGACCACTGAAACAGAGAAGGCCTATTCCTTCCACTTTCCCAGATTTCCTTTTCTTTAACCAGAATGGATCTGGGATTGTTTGAAAGTCTCCTGGTACATGTCTTGTTGTTGTTTTTTGTCTTAATATTAATGGCATTTCTGTTGAGCTCATGCTGTGTGCAGGCAGTATGATACAACTGGGATTTGAAAGGGCACTTGCTGAGGGAGGGAAGCAGGGATGCTAAGCACACATTTGATAACAAAGGGCTGAAGTATGATGTACCTGCTAATTTAAGGCACTAATGGAAGCTTTGGTAACATCATGCTGTGTATTCTTGGGATACTTTGTACATCTATTGCAGGAACATGGTTTGTAGTGAAAAAGAATGTCTCTGAAAAATGAAAGTAAACTTTTCATTCACTTTAAAACCAGTTATTAAGAAACTTTTATCTATAGAGATCAACAGTGCTGATTCCAGTCCTCTATTTGTATGCCCTGCTTATTGCCAAACCCTATATCTCTTATCAGACTGTGTTCCCTGCTGCAGAAGAAATGTTCAGAAGTTGGCAGTGCAAATGGGTCTGTAGTCAGAAGACATTTTCATCACTTTAGGAAATACATCAGAATGGATGTGTAACATGCACAGAAGGAACTGTAATAGAAAGATATATTGGACAGATGCTCTCTCAGGCAGGTCACGGTATTGGGCAGGCTGATTTGTTGCTGACAGATCTAGCAGGAGGTCCAAGCTATGTAGGATGTTTTCAGGGCAATGAAAATCATCCTTTTACAAGGCTGAGAGGAAAAAACCAGCCCAGTACTAAGGGTGTAGTTATTGCTATGTTATGCTCTTATTTAGATGAGAGAACTGGTACGTTGGAACTAGTATATTAAAGATATACTGATAAATATCAAATGTACTCACTGTAAAAAAGATTCCTATTTTGCTGCCCAAAAGATAAGTTCAGTTGTGATTTTAACAGAAATTCTGTGATATGTTAACTTATTTTTACAAAACCTTATCCTGTGTATTTGCACAAGACCTTGGAAGTGGTGGGTAATGCTAAAAGAGCAGAGCTCTGTGTTGTTATTTTGGAATCATGGCAATTTACAGTGCTCATCTTTCTTGTAAGTCCTCCCCTTGGGAGTCAAACAGAGATTTGGATCAAATTCAAGCACACTGCATCATAGAATCATAGAATAGCTTGGGTTGGAAGGGACCTTAAAGATCGTCTAGTTCCAACTTCCCTGCCATGGGCAGGGACACCTTGTACTAGACAAGGTTGCCCAGAGCCCCATCCAACTTGGCCTTGAACACTTCCAAGGATGGGACATCCACAGCTTCTCTGGGCAATTTGTTCCAATACCTCACCACCCTCACAGTAAATAATTCCTTCCCAACACCTAATCTAAACCTACTCTCTTTCAGTTTGAAGCCGTTTCCCCTTGTTCTGTCACTACATGCTCTTGTATACATTTCTTGTGTACATCTTTCTTGTAGGCTCCCTCAGGTTCTGGAAAGCCACAAGTAGGTCACCCCAAAGCCTTCTCTTCTCCAGGCAGAACAATCCCTGTTTTCTTAGCCTCTCCTCATAGGAGGGGTGCTCCATCCCTCTAATCATCATAGGATATTTTTTTACTTATCAGCAGACCTCTACTGCAAGGACCAATTCAACCTTACTCTAGGGAGTAGGTTTGTTTCTTTCCCAAACACTAGCCACAGGCTTTTTTCCAAGGTCATGAAACTCACTCCTTATTCTTACACTGTGCTCTTGTTTTCAATTCAAAAGTATTTAGCCATGGCTAACAGCCATGAAGGAAGGCTTGTCCACTTCTCTTTGACATGTCACTCAAGCCTTGTTAATGTGTTCTAGTATTTTGTGATTATCAGTAGAAACACCTACTGTTAACAACTTTATAGGAATAGCCGTTGTTTCCCTATCATACATTGAGATTTTTGCACCTTCTCTACGCAGTATTAAGGTTGAATTAATATCAGAGAAAACATACATATTTTAAAGAAAATATGTGTACCTGGACTAAGAGTTTTTTACAAATAAATATCTCAAAACTAAACTAGTCCATAAAAGCATCTGTGAATTTACCTTAGGTTTCACAAACCACGAGCGTTTCCTTCTTCCTCAATTACATACATGCATGCAAGTGAGTACATGAGAGGTTTCCCATCGATTTATTCAAGTTAAAGCAAGATATCACTTTCAGAAAAAGATCTATGTGGGAAACAGACTCACTGCTTCAGTGCACAAAAAGTGAGTAGGGGAGCAGGGGTGAAAGATTGCTTTATTTGCAAGCCAAAAATCTTGTCTCTCCTGACTGAAATGTGGTGAGGAGCTGGGAGTTAACAGCTGATCAAGGCAAAGAGGGGATTTCCAAGCCCAGTGAAAAATATTTTCATTCTGCTAAGAGTGGAGGTGGAAAATCAGAAACAGTGGGGAAAAGTCAAGTTGGGTTGATCTAGTACGGTATTTTCCTTTGAGTTTTTAGCAATAAAAAATAAGTTGCAAGAGGACTGTGTCATTTTATTCAAGGGAGCATGAAAATGTCATGTTTCATTTTCCTTTTAGAGCTACATGAAATAGTCTTCCCCTGCTAAGGGGAACTTGCACATTTGCAAAGGCAAGCTGAGTCTTCAGAGTTCTTTTTGCAGTCTCCAGCAAGACCCTTACCTGTCAGCTACACTGCAAAACTGAAAGCTGAACTCTCTGCATTTGTCTATTGAATATTCAGGTATAATGATTTTTTTAAGGAAGAGGTCAATGGACAAAATCACAAGGAAATTTTTAGCTTTTTAACTGGCTTTGTTCCCTCCATGAGCCACTTTGGGATTCTTATTGCTCCTTTTAAGAATTCCTATAAAGCAGCATCACGAATTCAGAAGAGGACTTTCTGATCCATAACAGTAATACCACAGGAATATGCCTGCCAAAGTATATCTTCAGTGAGACGTATAAAGAGCATTTTAAAAGGGAGAAACTAATTTAAGAGGATGCATTAATATTTGCTTTTGCACTGACTGCTTCCCACAATCTTCTCTAAGCTTTTTTGGCAAAAAACCTGTGCAGGATTCAAGCTTTATGTTTATCCTGCATCTCACATTTAGGCTTGCTATCAACTGTGAAATTGGGACGGTTAATTATTTAATGCTTAGATGTTCTGAAGACAAAAAGTACCAGACAGGCAATATCTGCTACCACAACAACAGTAAGGTTTAAAATAGGCAAGAAATGTCACTAATTGGAGTTTTAATTTACAGTTTTAGTGGGACTCTTAACTCTCTAGGGACATTTTTGCTGCAAAGCTTTATGTCCTGAACAGCACCTGAGCTGGAATAATTTCATTAAGTATGAGAACCTAGAGATAGTTAATTTGATTCATTTGTATTAGAACATAATTTTCCCCACAGAATAGCAATGTAGGTAATTTTTGCCTAATTATGCCATTTTCATTTTATTATCTCTTATTTTATAATCTGTCATTTGCTTTTATTTATATTTATTAGTACTATCCTAATTCCAATTTGATTAAGTACACTGTAAAATGACCTTTGCTTTAAGGCTACAATCTCTATGGCAAACTGTTTCTACTAAAGGTTGATGTGGGTCAAAAACTGATGCTCAGAAGAGCTCTGCAACACATTGACTTTTCTCCTTTTCCAGGTAGCTATAGATTTCACGGCATCAAATGGTGATCCTAGGAACAGCTGCTCACTGCACTACATCCACCCCTATCAACCCAATGAGTACTTGAAAGCATTGGTAGCTGTTGGGGAGATTTGCCAAGACTATGACAGGTAAATAACCACATTTGATTACAGAGTTGTCTTTAGAAATTGTTTTCACAGTGTGAAATCAATGAATGCCTGTGGCTGGCTGCAGAAGCTCCATGTTTAGGCACTTAGGAAGAATGACTGCACATCAGAAAGATTAGTCTTCCTTAACCTGTTTTTGAGAGTCACGGTGGATCTGGATTTAGCTTCGTGATAAAGAAAGGCAAATTTCTTGGCTGTTTGCCTGATATGTGTGTTAAGTTTCAGGTTTGTATTCATGTGCTAGAATTATACGTTTGAGTGGATTTTTCATGTGTTTGAGTTTAACAACTTGAAGCCTGTTTCACAGGTGCTGGTAGTGTCTTTTCTAATATTCTTGGGGATGTGTTTGTGTCCTGTTCTTCAGAAGAGTTTTCCTGAGAAGTTGTGTTTGGCACTGAATTTGTAGTTGCCTAAACTGCTTACTGAACTGTGTCTATTCTTAGTAGTAAACACATGGTCTTTTTTCAGTGCTTTCCTGGCCTGTTGAATATTTCACTCTCTTTTAAAATAAACATTAAAAGATAGTGATAATGTGTGTATACCACACACCTTTAAATAAATAATTGAAAGTAATTGGGCCAAATATGTTTGATTACATTATGTACTTCTGTTGCTTCCTGCTTCTATCAAATTAATTGCCCATTATTAATCTAATTACCAAGTGCATTTCCTTGAAATGTTCTTTCCCTGGTGGTGAGGCACAGTATCTTACACAGTTGTTCCTCCTAGTCTTTGCACATGTAATAGATATCCACCCATCACTTTGCCATATGCAGATACTAGATCTCGAGGAAACAATGGTATTTCCAGTCAAATTTGAATCATAAATTGTGGAGTGACTTCAGACTGTGGTTTGCATGTTACATGTCACATATACCAATCAGCCTGCTCAGAGGCATTTCCATTTGCATGGTAATGAAATGTCTTCTCAAAGAAGAATGAGGAAAATGCTGCCCTGATACAATTTCCGTAAGAAATTGATGATCAAACTTAGTCAATGACTCTGAGAAAATTAATGTTTTATTGTAAGTGAACTGATAATTCCCCAGTGACTATCCTGTAATTTAATAATTACTAGCAGTAATTCAGAGGATTAATATACTTCAAAATAGGGAAAGGAATAAAAAGGACTGGTTTATGCACACAGAATTCTTGATTTTATCACCAAAGGTGTATTCTTTAAGAAAATGAAATCGTTAAGTGGCATTTCCTGTATGGAAATATTAACCCCAAATCAGGATTTTTCTCTCACTATAGTATATTTCAATCAGTACCAAAAGAAAATAAGAGCCAGTCATTTTTTAAATGAAATCATCAGCATCGTTCAGTTCTATTGTGCCGCAAAAAATGTCTACTGATGCTAATCATTGCAAGTAAGGTTGTGTGAGCTACAGACTAGGGTTGAACAAAAGCCAGAATTTCTTTTCCCAGGGAAATGACACCTTTCTGGCATGTGTTTGACCTGTACATGTTCTAAAATGATGACACTATAAATACATTCCCATGGACAAGTTGATTGAACATGGTCAGTGCTTTCTGTTTGAAATGTCAAGCGAGGACCTTTTCTTTATATTTGTATGTTTTGAATCCAGCAAATTGGAAATCAGAACTTAAAATTTTTCTTACGAAAAAGGAAAGAAATTAGGAGGAGCAAACCTTCACACAAAATGATCTACAGATTCTATATAGGACTTTATTGAGTTGAGTTGCAGCCTTGAGATGTATGGGCAAATACAACCTACAAAGCAAATCTTCTGTATATGCAATTTAAAAAAAAACAAGATACAAATTCAGTAAAATTCTGAAATGTGGCACAGACCTATAATTGCTCCAGCGAGTCCAGTTGTGCTTCAAATGATGGAGGGGGATTTCTGCTTCCAGATTAAGATCAGCCAGAGGTGAAAAGAGGGGGATTCACTGAACCTAAGGGCTGTTTAGAGTCAGAGTGTCATCATTTGCTTAGAGGCATGTCTTTGGTAAGATTAAAACATGAGACCACACAGATGGCAGTGCTCTTACCTGGAATTTTATAGTTTGTACCCATCAGTTACCTCAAATAGGTGGAACTGGCTAATTTCATTCCAAACAAAGGGAAATGAAGTGAGTTTTACTGGGTCTCAGGATTAATGTATTTGCATCAAATGAAAGAATAGTTGAATAAGGTAAAATCTGCTGTTTGCAATGAACAGTTAGAATGCTAAGTACTTTTGCCACTCATCTAGCAACAGACTGCTTTTATAAATTTGAAAAAGAAAAGAAAGGGCCCGTGGTTATTAATTTAAATATTTCTTTCATTAGAAACATTCAAATTTATTTGTATTTTGGGATAAACTGGATTGGCAAGTAATACATAGAGAGACTACACTCAAAATGCAAAATTTTCTTCTATATACTCTGGTTAGTTCTATTGATCAAGCCAACTCTTCTCATAATCTACGTTTCTGTACATCTCAGCATAACATAATGGATCTGTAAGTAATTAATGCTCCAAATAAAGTGCTGCCTCACATCTCTTGATACAGTGGAATAAAGCCTGCTCATCCAGAAGCCCCTTTATCCTTATGGTTCAGAGATTCCTGAAACAGTTAAATGAGTAGCACCATTTTGCACAGTTAAGCATGAGAGAATAAGATTCATTCTTTCATCAGCAACATTCAGAGAATGAGAAATAGACGCTGATTATTATCCTGATTGTAGAAATGCTGCAGTCCTGTTGGAATAGGCCAATCTGATAATGGTGTGGGAAATGGAAGAGCTATTCACCTGCACAAAATACTTAATACTTTATCTATGTGGTGGAATTGTTTCAGGCTATAACAACGTTTTACATAAGAGGGAAGATAAAGTGTGTAGGTGATATAATCAGTGGCTAAGCAGCAGCAATGGATCATAAAGGAAGGAGAAACACTCATTATTTTAAGGACTTAGGTTCTAAAATATAGTTAGAAATACTGGAAATGGGAAAACACATTAAAAACATATTATTGAAAATATTTGGTAAAGTAAGCAGACAGCTCCAAGGAGAAGAATTTATTTTAAGATAAATTACTCATGAATGTTTAAAGATGACCTCATGAAGTAATAAGTGAGAAATACATACTTCTTTTTAAACATTTTCAGAAGCTTTCTTTTAGATTAAAAAATACATCACTGGTATAATTTTACCTTGAAATTGTACAAGTCTACTCCACCTTTTTCTAGCATAGAGAAAAAGGTGAAAATTATGAAAAATCACTGGACACTGAAGTGTAAAAGGATCTACTTCTGTATCATAAAAGACCTGTGACCAGAATCTTATAAAATCCATGAAACTCTCTAAGTTATATAATAATAATTTTGAATGTGTCCTGTTCTCCATGGCAGCTCTTCCCCAAACACTCTCATTTGTACCATAAAACTTCCCCCTGCTCAGCACCGAACAGCACCATCATTTTGTAAATCAGAGAAGCCTACAGCTAAACTGAGGAATCAGGGAATATTTCCTTTCCTCTGTGTCCCAGCATAAGGTCTGGCCATGTCCTTACTGCAAGTCAGGACCTGACCTACCTCATTGTATATACAACTGGAGTTCTACCCATGTGTGTATTAATAAACAGGCATACATATAATATGTAGCCATTATATATACTTATATATGTATAATATTTATGGTTAACACTGAACCATTCTTTAAAGAAAAAGAAATTGATTTCTCTTTTGTGCTGCTTTATACCTTCCCTCTCTGCAGAGCAAAGCCATAAGTCACAATAACAACAGTGCACACAGTTTATTAAAATGGCTGGTCCTTTGATCTTAATGATTTGTTTTGCCAGTGCTGGAATACAAGCAACTAACCATGAGTGTAGCTCATCTTTCATTCTGCAGTGATTGCTGTCTATGTCAAAAGAAAAAGGGCTGGAATGGGACTGTAAATAGCTTGTTTGTAAAGATGAATGTTTTACATGTACACAGTGCTAAAGGCTGAAATGCTTCCTAAATGATCGTACATTATTACAGGTTTTAATGATGATATTGTTGGTGAAGCCCATGGCAGAGCTTGCAAATCTGCTCCTCACTTTGAAATCTGATTTCTGCAGTTAGTAGCTTTCCTTTCACTTGTGCTTGTTAAGAATCTCATTATATTGCATTAAATATTTATCTTTGCATTAAAACTTCTGTTCTGATCCAGCAAGACACTAGAGCTTATTCAATCCAGTCTGACTCAAGCAAATACAGAGGTATTATGCAAAATATAGATGACACTAAGATACAGTTAAGAGTTTTGCTGAATTTGAACTTTATTGTTAATTATTCAACCCACACCCAAATACTCAGTGCCTTCCATTTACCTGGATGATTTTTATGATTTTTTTAATGCATAGTTTAATGTTTGTGCGTACATTCAGAGTTTGTCATTGAATAAAGAAAAAGCACTCACAAACGTGTGAGAATGAGCTTTTGTGTGGTCAAATCAATACTCATATTGAATAAAGAAAAAGCACTCACAAACACGTGTGAGAATGAGCTTTTGCGTGGTCAAATCAATACTCACACCTTGAGAAAGCCAAAGGTTAGATGTATTTTATCAAACACTTTCAAGCATTGGATATTTTTTGAACTTTCCATTCTTGATGGGCCATCTTCATTATTATTCTTTTCCATTCTTGATGGGCCATCTTCATTCTGATCTAAGCACTCAACTCATTATTCCATGTGTTTGACCACATAGTTTTGTAAAATTATGCCATAAAATTGGTCTTCATTTTATTTGCATTCAGAATCTATTCAAAAAGTTAGTCCTTAATGATTTTAAATCTCTATATTTGTTTATTCACTCTTAAAGATACTGCAGATTTTTCTTCAGTTTCAAGAGCCCTTGAAACACATGGAAGATAAGTTCCATTTCCTGACACAAATGCTATTACATAGTTTTGTAAAATTATGCCATAAAATTGGTCTTCATTTTATTTGCATTCAGAATCTATTCAAAAAGTTAGTCCTTA